TAACCTCTTCACTATAGCCTATCTTCATCGTGTCAAGTTACCTCTGACCACATTCGATTGCTCCCGCCGCCCGCCAATCAAATTTAAATCCCACACTCAATGACTCATTGAACGATCTAGCCAATGAACGCGAACGAGCCAAAGCGCGCGGGCTCGTGGACAGTGCATTATTTACTACACAATTAATTGTCTTGTCGTGAAATATTTGGTCAATAATTTAGTTTTAGAATTATTTTTTATATTTTTTAAGTTAAAAATTATGTGACATTTTGTAAATTGAACTCTGCCTGAATTTATAAACATCAATTTATATATATTTATTCTTAGATGGTCTACCATAACACAGGGACTCGAGAACGTAGGTGACATCTAGGCTGCAATGCAGTAACTGGGAAACGAAAACTGAATTACTTATTTTTGACGCCCACTGGGTCCGATGTGATAGTTAGTGGGCAATTATAGATTGGAAGAATTTATTATAAGATATTAATTTGTTAAGTGTCAGAAAAGTGGTGCCCGGACAAACTGTTGTTAGGCCTTGGTGAACGTTCATAAATTGACAAGAACTGCACTTAAAATACGTACAATAACCTGGTAATGTATTTTTGTGTTTTATAAATATTACCTGTATTCACCAAATTAACTCTGCAGATATTTGCGCAACCTAGGAACCTAGAGAGAAATCCCGATTCTTACTTTGAAGAAGCGGACGACAGAAAAAAAAAACTTGAATTATCCTGAGCAACGTCTGGGTAATGACGTGATTTCCCACTGCACAGATTTAGATATTTGCACATAATGCATTAGCGGGAATTGTATATGTGAACATTTAGTGGAGCAAAAAACTAGCAGATGAATGTTCATATTGGGCAACGAGTAAATATTTTATGATTGCGTTTGTTGAGAACAGCGGTAACAAGAATGTGTTATTGTCTATGCGTATTTAGACTCTAATAATCCTGCATAGTGGAATGCGTGGACGTTCTCAAGATAGCTGATAACAAAGACAAAGTGAGCTGTCTGAAGGGATTTGATGCCTACCCCCCCCCCCAAAAAAAAAAAAAAAAAAAAATATATATATATATATATATATATATATATATATAAATGTAATAATTATTAAAGAAGAATGATTAAAATTTGTTTATAAAAGCCTGTTCCTGTCCAGTGATTTCATCCGGGAACCATCAAGATCAATGGCGTTTGTTTCAAGTGTACAAATGGGTTTTATACTTATGTGTGAATCGGGGGTCTTTTATCCTAAAGGTTTATGAAGAATGTATTGAATGAGTGTTGCTTGTTGAAAATGTGTCTTTTATACGGAGCTTGGACAGAGGTTTGAGTTGGATGCTTTTTGTGGAGTTAGTAGAACTGTATAATTAAATATGGTTTGGCAGAGAGAGAGAGAGAGAGAGAGAGAGAGAGAGAGAGAAAGGGAGAGGGAAAGCAAAACAGAACCAGAATAGAAAGAATTCAAGGCCATGTTGCTGGGACCCCTGTACCTATTTAGTCTCTCAATTTGTTACTCACAATAAGCACTGTCGTCATCTATGTCGCAACTCCCACGTCAGAGAATGCTCTGTATATAACATTGTTCTCTGTCTATAAAACCTTATTATTTTGATTGACAGCTGTGACAGGTGTCTCTGAATACTATCTCGCATCTTCTTCATTTTACACGATATAATCTGACACTGGGAATAAATAACTTCCCGTCACCTGCACGTCAAAATAAATATCCTTCTTGTCAAATTTTTTTATCTTTTATCACAGAGGGTTAAAAAATAACAACCTCTGAATGTAGTGTGGATATTTCTGATACAGTATGGATGTCACATGCATTAAAATTCCTTTCAAATCTTTAGCATGTGACAGTACAAGTCATTGGGTTTGGTATAATGGAATTGTTTGAGGTTTACAATCGTCTAAATTTATATAATAACCTTAGACATGCATCTTGCCACCCGTGACCCTGAATCTTATCTTGTCCCAGTTCGACAGTGCTGTCACAAGGAGCCCTGGTATGTCACTGCGAGATGAGCACACGGTGGAGAGAGAGAGAGAGAGAGTCTTTTTTCACAAGATATTCATAGATATTTCTCTGGTTATTCTCTGGTTATTCTCTGTATTGTGAGAATTTTGTAGGTAAAAAATTAACCGACAGCACCACCCTCCCAAACCTTGGTAGAGAGGTCACAAATACGTGCTACTGGACACGGATTCCAATTTGTAACCAGACTGTCGCTTTATGCCAGTTTTGACGAACCTGGTCTTTCTGAACCTCAGTTACATCTTAATCGAACCTGCCCCCCCTCCCCCCCCCCCCCCCCCCACACACACACACACACACACACACAGTTCCAATCCAGGGGTTTGGGAAGAGCGAGATCTTTCTCAGTTACATGACATTTGCCTTGTCACCAGTGTTTGTCTTCAGTACCAGTAAAGTGGCCAAGGGAGACCCAGTTTTGGGGCACAGAAAGGGGTGGGTCTATTTGTCACTTACCGATACACATGTAAAGTGTCACACAATACAGTTTGTATGGTCCAAATGTCAGAAGAGGACGAGGCTGTGGAATGAGTTGTTTAAAGGGATAATAACTCTTCGCTTTGGACAAAAAATGAATTTTCCTGGAGTAAACAACAATTTTCCCATACTTACCAATGGTTAATGAATCCATTTTTACATTCAAAGTTAGTCCCTGGTTTTTTCTAAAAAGTTTTTTTTTTGTTATAATCTCTTAAGAGATTATAACACAGTATAGCCATCAATGGAGGTCACGTGGTCTAAAGACAAGCTCAGATATCAGAATAATAGCTATAACTGCCGTTTTTGTGGTATATCATTTTTCTATGAGTTGTTCACAATGTTTTTATTGTGAAATATAGATCTCATACGAAGAGTTATTATCCCTTTAATATTGAGCAATATCTTACGAGAAGATTGTTACCAAGGGGAATTGGGATATTATTTACTTTGGGTCATCTAAGGGGATAAAAAGATCCACTTTTTCAGACAAAGAATCCCCGTTTTGAAATTGCTAGGCGCAGGCCTGAAACTCTTTAACGTTATTGGCATTAAATCAGTACAGATTTGAACACTTAAAATGATGAACTGATTTTTTGGGACAGTAGAATCTTAAACCCCTTCCCATGGCCCCATGGGAATACGTGGATCGGCCAAACTCTGTGGGGACTCTTGCTGAGTGCAATCAACTGGCGTGAATTAGAATACAGAAAAGCTGGTGACTATGGACGTTGGATACAAGAAGAGGCGCGTCATTCAGTTTAACTGATTGTACTCAGCAAGAGTCCTCGCTGAGTTGGGTCGATCCAAGTAGACCGATAGTATCTATGTGAATGGGGTCTTGATCTGTACAGACAATGAAAAAACTCTGTGGATCCCTTCAGCCCACAACAATCCACCATTTTGTCCCCAGTACCAGTCATTTCCGATAACCCACTCAAAATATTCATCAAGTGGCAAGAACACGCCCATACGATATCGTTAAACACAGTTTAACATTTCATGGTATGGCGTACATTCCTTTCAACGCAGGTGCACCTAAAAATGTCCTCATATTCATTACAGGATAAAATGGTATCAAAAATCTACTGTTTCAAAAATAGCTCCTTTAAATTTGCGCTTGGCGTGCCAGCCGGGCTTTTAATAGAAGTGGGGTTGATTTTTTCCTCGAAACTGTCGCGGCGAAGGTTACGAACGGTAGACACCTTTAATAAGGTCAATCACTCCAAAGCTGATCCCAACAAGTTTATAAGGAGGTTTTTCGTGGTCCTGCCTGAACCTTCCAACTCGACACGAAACTAAATGGCTCAGTTTCGTGTTATTTAAGTAAAATATACCAAAATTTCCGTATAATGATGAAAGATGGCAGTGATTTGGGTTATTATGTATGTGACTATTGCATAAAAGTAGGCTTATCTTGCCAGCTTAAATCTGATTTCATTTTAAACGACAAGAAACTACCTGTATGTTATTTTACTGTGACTGGTGATAAACGACACATAAATAAATTCATAAAAGCAATATCATATCGCCCTAACACCACCCCCCCGAAACCCCCCACCACCCCCCCCCCCCCTCCTCGGCGGAAGAATCCTGCCAAAATATGCACTGGGTGTCCGCCCGTCAGCTTCTCTGTGTGGTCTTAACACCTAGAAGGTGCAAACTGGGCCCGGGGATCCTATTGTCGACACCCTATGTCATGTTTGCTGACATTAAATGGACGCAGAAAGCGCGGCCTTTCAGCAAAGTTTGTAACAAAATGCTCAGCGTTGCAATTATCCGGTGTGTGCAGAGCCCCACTCATGTGTGAGCGGAATTCCACGATGGGTTTCCAGATAAGGAGACAGTCTAATAAACTAATCAACTTCTGAATTAAGTCCTTTCTGTGTTTGTCCAAGCTGACAATTCCTGGGTCAGATGTCGTTGTGTTCATACAGAAATGGGCGGATGGGTGTGGCGGAGGGGGGGGGGTATAAGGAGGGCGTGGAAGTGGGAGGGGCATGTGTCAATGTCCTCTGATTGACGTAGATGATGATGAAGATGGACGGAATGTGGGAGAGAGTTCAGGTGACTGGACAGAAGCTTATCTTAATTTTTAATTTTGTCAGCTGATTTGGTTTAGACATTTTTTAAACGAGATGTGTAAATGCAACCTCATGCAAATCTACTTGAACGCTCCATTTAATTCTCCAGAAAAATGTCTTCTTTTGTCCTAAACCGTTGGAATTGTTTAAATGTCAAATTGTACGCGTTGCTTAAAATGTAAGTTGTCTAGCTTGTGTCAAAACATGTTAGGAATTTTCTAAAAATCTAAAAGCATCTAGATGTTTGGATACAAGTGGTACTGTTAAATGCATTCCATCTAGATGTTGAATCCCTTTACATGTAAATTAAGTAACGAGCAGCGAATATCGTTCAATTTTTTTCTTCATGACAAATACTTAACTTTTGAAAAATAAGACAACAACAGCAATTTACAAAATTTACAAATAATATATTTACGTCTGAAACAGTTATGAACATAGATTGTAAGTTATAACATATTGGCATATACAGAGTTACTCTCCAAACACAAGCCTCGTCCCAAGCTTTCTACACACCCATTGGCAATCAGTGGGAACGAGTCTCTTTTCAGGATGAAAGGCACAAACAGTTGAAACATAGTATGCACTCATTTGGGTTTGAATTATGGTATGTACATCAGTAATACTTGTATCAATACACAGGTGCCCCTTGGGACTATAAATATTGGGGAGAAAAATCTACACATATTTACATGACGTTACAAATAATGTACACTGATAATCATTACGTAAACATATTATGACTGTTTGCTTCTGTACATTTTACGGTAGAAATGAGTTCCATTCGTTACGGTGGGAAATCCTCCAATAAGATAAATATACTTTAAGTTAAATAAATGACACCTGGAACTTCGAATTATAATTACTATCAAACTTTGTGCATGGAAACAGAAGAATAAAATTCCACCCAACTTGTTTGACGTACAATGGATTGTGAAGCAGTCGGGTAGCCCCGCAAAGTATCCATTCCAATACGTAAGCACACTATTGCTCCATTGCCAATGTCATTGTGTCGCGTATCATTCAAGTAGATATCTATTTGAGAAAAGCAACAATTCAAAAGAGCAGTTTTTATGCTCTCTTTCTCCCGTTTGGGAGTTGTGAATCGACCTTGTGATTCGGAAGTCTGCGTGTGTTCTCTTTGCGCAAATGGCAACCACTGATCTTTAACGAGCGTCCTTTCAGGCCGGTCACCCGGAGCGAGGGAAGCCTCGAGAAACGCCTGGCACTGGAAGAAAACAGACACCAGGGGCTGGGACGCGCGTTTCATGCCTCACCAATCCCGTGTTACAATCTCGGCTGAATTTGATGGCCGATCGGGTTACCTTGTTTTCACTCCCAGCAGCTAGGGTGACACCGCTGAGAGAGAGAGGATGAGTGAAGGAATGTGCCGTCACTCTGGGCCACTGCGCGCGCAGCTCCAAATAACAATGGATACAAACAAGACTACGCAGTTACAGATATTGGGACGAAGGAACCTGTTGCTTGTCCGACTGTAGTGTTGTGGAATAGTGATCGTATCTGTTCCATCCAGTGTCCCCTCCACAACGCACGTGTCGTGCACGGTCACTGTACACGTTTGGGTCACACAGCGCCATTGTCGCCAAAATTCTAATTTAGTGAATGCTGTCCGGGATTCTGTTTTCTTTTTAATTTTCTCATTGTGGGAGAATGTTTGACTTCTGCTTTAAAATGTCTCCGTATGTAAATGGGGTAAATTAATGCGTTGTCCCAGTTATTTTTGTTTAGTAGTTTTGCTCCAGAACGTGTGAAAGAGGGGTCCCAATTTGTAACTGTCACGTGGTTACTCCTTCAAGACAATCCCTAGCCGAAGCTCGCTTTCAGCCATAATCTGATGTACCGGACAAATGACACATATCCATTGTTCGTTCAAGAAATTCCTATTTCATATAAGCACAGAAAAGATTAGTACTTGATTGTTCTCTAAACAAGCCACCGGGAATTGCGCTGTTTGTCTGTGTCCTATACGGTCGACACATCTATATTGAATGCGGTGTCTTGTCAGATTGTAAGCATATTGAGTGCATCGTGGGTTTAGGGACATCCCATTAGGCTTTATAACATCGTAGTTCATGTGAACCATCACTGTTGCGTCTCTTTGGCTGACGCGTGCCATTCTCAGTTGTGCTTGGTCGTTTTCTTCCATAAAGAATTGTGCGGTTGGTCAAATTAAATCAAATCAGCAATTAAAATCTCGGAAATTAACGCAGGGTTGGGAACAGAGAGAGAGACAGAGCGAGGGAGAGATAAGGTAGGAGATAGCGTTCATTTGCACGTGTACTCCTCTGTTCTCTCTCGGCACTCATTGCAAGTGACGTGGCAACACCAATGGAAGCGACAGTTGCACTGCCACGTGCGCGTGTACTGGTGTGTGTTGTAACCTCGGCCACAGCACATCGAGTCACAACCGTCTGTGTCATCTGAAGTCCTATTGCAGCGTCTCCCCCGCGTCCCCAGAGACCCCGTCAAGGGATCATAGTCACAATAATTAGGCGACCTCTGCAGATATACTACATCCGTCCTTTTAGGTTTACGGTCCGGCTTTTTTGATTTTTTGCACTTGAGAAAAAGAGGCCTCCTAGCACGCCGGCTTCGGATTGGTTCGACCTCCTTTGCTAGTCTGTATTTTTTCATGAGAAAGTCTCCGATTTTTCTAAAAGGCGGCAGCGTCGTCCAACATGTCTTCATTGTGCAAGATCCGCTGACGCCATGACACTTGCATTCTACGACCATGTTCTCTTTGACTGCCTAAAAGAAACGAAAATGTTTCAGGTGAAAAACTGAATTTCAAATAGGATTCAATTCAAGGGGAAAACATTGAAACGAACAGGACAAAATTACATTAAAAAATGAATGGGTTCTGGCGCTTAGTTACCCCGTGCCTTCCGACATAGCTACAACTAGCATTCAAAAGTTGGTTAAAGAGATAATATTCAGTGTAAATTACTTCGTGTACTGAATTTTGAAAACTAAACACTACAGACCAATCTTATTACATTACACTAAGCTAGCAGAATGTTGCACTTATTAAAATGACAAAAATCAAAACAACATGTTTAGTTAAGAAGTGTTCATAACGACAAAGAGACAGACATTTATAAGGTTACTGTAAAGTGATGGAAAGGGTGAAAAATTTGTGGTTGAAGATTACCCCTTAGCTGGTTTCATGCAAAAATTAAAAGTCACTCTGTCACAAGGGACTCGAGTACCTGGGTGAAAGGTACTACGTGATCCAGAAGACATTTCTAATGTAAACATCTGGATTATGCCCATTGGAATTATAGAAACACCACTCTGATACGCTAATGGTTGACATTGTTTAGGTTCAGGCATCATCATTGTCAATAAAAAGAAGTTCAATTAATGTTAATGTGACTATTAACTACACGAAAGGACAAGGTGAGCCAACACGTGGCTGGGGAATGGAAAAACATCGTTAAGATTCCGTGTTAATCATTGATCATGTGATATCGGTTTGAGAGGTTAGTTCTGTCCTTGAAATCTTTTTCTCGTATTTGCTTCAAGAGACCATTACAAATTGGAAACAAAAATTATAATGGTGCCTTGAGACAATAAATATACCACAACTGATCGTTTTGTCGGCGGCAAAAATTTCTGTCTGAATCAGTATCCAATTATTTGGGCAAAACGGTTACGGATGCAGAAAGGAGAAACATATTATTGGGGATTATTGATAGAATGCTCCAGTCGTTTCTTTGAAATTAGAATGTCAGTCATTTCAAAATGTGAAATATTCTTGTATATTTAAATGATCTTTTTCGGCAACAGTAACATAATCATGCCTCACCACGTGCCCTTTTTCAGGTAAAAACGAAAAATCAGACGATATCTCTAGCTGGATAAAACTACCAGTTTCATTTCTATTCATAAACAATAAAAAAGATTTAGGAAACAAGTATGAAAAAGTTATGTATTTAAATAAAACAGGAAGCTCACTTTGCAGCCATGTGACCTTGGAAATGGTAACTATATCACGTGCTCGCGTGCCTTTTTTGTTCCCTAGCAACGCGGGCAATTATAACAGTTACTGAGTCACGTTGAATTTATTTGTTGATTGTTGCTGCTATTTTTGCACCCCCTCCCTCAATTTAGAGTTTCACGTTATGTCTTTCCCATGCTGTGTATCTGTATTTCAATTGTGACTGTTTTTTTTTCTTATTTTTGTTTTCTGTTCCGATTTTTAAAATCTCAGGTAGGGCATACCTAACACACCAGTCACATAACTGGTTAAATTGCAATCACAAACCCGGACGTATGATTTGCAAAATGTGACTAGATAAATATCTTTTTTTTTGGGGGGAAAGCAATCTCCCTCGGGAAACGTGGGGGATATTTGAAAATGTACACTTGAGGAATGTAAATGTTTAGGTAAACGTCTCAAAGTGCCAAATGAAAAGAAATAGATGCGACTTTATGATGTCATTGTGAATGTGCAAGGAAACCGCTTGCCATAACAAACTCGTTAAAAGTGAAGAAAAAAAACGCCAAATGGTCCACTGGGCCCAAAAGACACGTAGTCCCGATTTCCTTTTACAGAACACCGCCTCTAAAACTGGGATAATTATGGAAAAGACTCCATTTTGTGTCACCAAAATAGAAAATAAAAATATGCGAAGAGAAATAATGAAGTGCTAGGCATGGTGCCTTACACAGAATGCTCCTTGCTGTCTCTTGTATATGTAATGTTTGCAGTAGGAGAAGCAAGGATTCAGTCTAATTTTGACCAAGACATAAACTGGCAAATAAGGGTTTGGGTACACGATGTTAAATTCATATAGGCAGTTTTCTTGCGCATTGGAGCCATGCTTCAATAAAATAGATATTACTACTTTGGGGATTATTATGACATAAAAACATTTTGTGACTTATTTTTTGGAGTTATTGTTCGATTAAAATTGAAAAAGGGGGAGGAGGTGAAGTAAAGAGGATAACTTGATTTCTGTGTTCATTTTTTCACTCTGCCTTGTTCTTTCCCTCTTTGACCTTCCAAACTCCCTGACAACTTAAGTTAGATTTACACACCATGGACTGAACCGCTAGGCCGAACCTTTATCGTTTTACGGGCTGATCGTAAATGATTTTGCTATTTGAAAGAGAATTACAGCACAGCTCTCTTGCAAACACGTGTTAGATAAAGCTCCGACAACATCAGCGCCTTTTTCGAAGACATTGCTGCAAAATTACGGTCTAAATTTGATGCAAGCTTTGATCGAGCCGGATCAGAGCATTGTGTAAACCCTGTTAGATTCCCCCACAGCGTGCGGTCCAAAAATGACGGATGGCATCTCCACTGTGCCGTCGCCCCATACAACTATGAAACCCAAATCGATCATAAATTCTTTATGGTATAGATTTGCCACGGCGATTTGTTGCCTATCAAATTGACATCTTTTACGGGTTTCATTACAAGGTATTTGGCTGACCTTTTCAACTTGCCTGTCTGCTGTCTCCACTACAGATACGTGTCGCTGTACTTAAGCGCTGGTCGAAGACATTATATTGGACAGCGTGCTTGCACGTGTGTGACTCGCAAACGCATGCCTGAGCAGTTAGTGTGCGTGTTGGCAAATGCGCGTTTCTGCGCTTCTGCGTACCCTTATTCTAGAATTTGTCACATTGGAGGGTGATATTTTTTGTGAGTTTTTCAGGACTGTGGTGCAAACTTTTCTGCGGTGCTAAAAATTAACCTGTTTCGACGAAAGTAAGCGTTTATCAACAGATATTCTTGCGAACCAAAATCATCTCGGTGTCATGAATTATCTTTTCATTACTAAAACGGCACAGTAAAGCAAGATATAAAAAGGTATTTCGAACCATATCACCAGTGTCAATACATTATGCATTTTAAATTCAACATAATCTCTCAAGCTAACAATTTGTTATGCATGACGACCATTCAACCAAAAAAAAAAGACATCCATCTAAACAAAAATTTCGGTTAACCTAGACTTTACGTAACTTGGTCATAATTGATTTTATCTATTTCGGGGTCTATAATTCTAAATTTGGCATTTACAGTAGCTGGTCTTAAAAGGGGAACAGGTTTGAAAACAATACCATAAATGGATTATTGAGCTACTTTTTTGCACTCTGATACACAGTAGATTAACAATTAATTATGTACATATCAGCCACTGGTGCACTTATTCCAACTTCATATTTCAGACAACATGAAAGGGTGCATTCAAGTTTCAGTTGTTACATCTGTGTTTCGTTCTCATGTCTGTGTGCGCCAATATTGTTGTACATTTTATCTAAGTATATTTGAAGAGGTTGGACGTTTTTCTAATATGTATTTTTCACAGGGGGGGTGGGGGGGGTTTAAAACATGGCAACAAGTACGAGGCACCTTCGCACCTGCTTCAAAAGTGCAGTGAACAGCAAAAGGGGAGGACGTGAGATATTATCCACCAGTTGAGCACTCTCCTTCCTCTTGTCATTGCGCACCTGGTTATGCAGATCGCATGCTGCAGTTTTACGTATCCTACCATCTGATTTATCTGTGCTCCGTGACTATTGTACAAATGACGAGAGAGACAGAGGGGCAGGAGAGAGAGAGAGAGAGAGAGAGAGAGAGAGAGAGAGAGAGGGGGGAGCGAGGGGAGAGAGAGAGAGAGGAGAGAGAAAGAGAGAGAGAGCTTATTTTTCATTACGATCAAGATTGCAGACATAAAGAACTTTATATATTTATTTCCCTGCACACTAAGTTAGCGTTCATTGAAACAAAAAAAATGTACCTCTTCCTCGATATTTCTAAATAAAGATTTGCCATCGATTCTAAATTTTCTGTATATGACCAAGTTGATTAAGTTGTTGATGCTTTCAAAAAGTTGCAATAGAATAATGTCACATTTGGATGACATAGTGAAGGGAACACTATTAATCTGCCTTCAGAAGCAGAAAAAAAAAATTAAACAAGAAGGATGCATTATCGGCCCATATCTCTTTTCCATTTTAGAATGCCTTCTCTGTTAAAGGAATAACAACTCCTCGTATAAGATCTGTATTTCAAAGTAAATACATTTTGTTAACAACT